TCAATCTTCTGGATTTCGATCGTAGGAAAATGTTCCGCGTAATCTTAGATATAATTTTACTCAACAACAAGTAAAATTATATCTAAGATTAAAGCTAAACATCTATCAAACTTATCTATGCCATATTTACGAAAAGACCTTTAGCTAAACCGTTTACAATTGAAGTACTCAATTTGATTGAAACGTCGTGATCATTTCACTGTCCAACCAACTCGCCCACTACAAAGCCTTTCTTTAGCCCAGATAACACCGGTGCCCGTATCAAGTTGCTTCCCATGCAAGTCATTGATGACTCAATCTGCCTACTACTTAGGTACGACTACGTAAACTTCCGGTGTTCCCGCATTCTACTCGTCGGCATTTTTTACGGACCGGATACTAAATAGCATATTATCACCACGTGCTTGGTTTGCCGAAAGGTGTCGTGCGGTGAATCATTGAACGTAATTCGGAGAACTGTGGATTGTCTTCCATAGTATATGCAAATCAGTTGTGAAATGGTACAATGAACTGTGCCATTATGTTACTAGTGTTACTATTGTACTCAATATATGAGGCCGCTAGAGGCAGGATAGCTTAACTGCAATTTTTATTACATAATTATATTCTTCTAATCTAAAAATGTTTATATCTACAAGAGCACAGTGACTTAAAATTGTGAACTTACTTTTTACACTAATCATAGATAGGTAATTCATTTTCGCCTTAATTGCGCATTTTTTCTCCTTATTGAAAGTCATGCTTTTTGTTATTAGGCCACTCTGCCCCTAGCTGCCTCATATTATTTCATTGATTTGTGAAAGCTAGCATTATTATTAAAAGTTAAGACCGAATTAAAACAAAATCCTAAATCGAACGAGTTGTTTTTAAGATTCGCATGTTCAAACAAACTTGCATATTTGGTACATCTTCAGGGTCGAGTCACACTTGATATTGTAGTAACAAACATTAGTTTTAAAATAAGGCTATTGTCCACACGACTACTTTGTAAATGTGAGTCAGGGTTTAAAACATGCCTTTCTTGGTATGTCGCGGCAATTGTCCTTACCCAGTTGTAATTGGTGTTATCCTATTGTAGTCATGTATATAAGGATAAGTTCGACATAGCATCTAGTTTAGATGTGATATGACCGGGGTATTTCTCCTGCCATAAAATGAATCCCATGCAGCTCTGTCCTCCTCTATAACAAATAAACATCTCTGCAATTTAGTTTTTAACGTGAATGTATTTTAGAAGGTGATTTCCTAATGTTAATTAAAAGTACGGAACTACCGGGTTTCAGCCTAGATTCGCGTGTAAGATCGCGGTTCAAACTAGAAATCAATGCATATTGTGACAGCACTGCTTCGGCACTGTGCATTCGAATGTACGAAAAGACTTGTAGACAAGTTAAATTAACTTGTATGGTGCTTTAAAACGTGAATCTTCACGAGCCAGCCATTTTATTAGGATATATTATTTTTTAAATAAAACACTTTAACGGTTCAAATCCGATATATATTAGTTAAACTTACTTGTAAATTATTGGTCGCCCCGTGACCACGGCTGCATAGCATATTGACATAATTTTTAAATAAATTTAACTAATATATATCGCGTTTTACACCGTTGAAGTGTTTTATTTAAATGTTTAATACTCGCGTAAACTACAGACTTTTAATTATTTTGTTAGGCTAAGCTGGGGCTTACCTTAACGAACGTTCATCCATACTCCTAGTGCAAAGTGGTACAAACAAGGCAACTGCGTATAATCATAAAAATTAATGAGTAGGTGTTTCTTTGTGTCCCGAGGAACCCGAAAATATATCGTCAGCCACACAAAAGCGAGACGGAAAGCAAGAAACTGCACAATTAACTTGCCGTCGCCAATTCGTTGTCAAGAATCACCAACAGTCACGAAATGTAGTCATTAGGCTCACTGCACACAAGAATGAAAGTACGATTGAAAATATCTTTGTTTTGTGAAGGTACATAAACTAAGGTATTGTCTGTGGTTTACGCGAGTAGTACACATTTAAACTTTGAACATGTTACGGGTCATGTCAAAGACAAAACTGCTACGCTAGCGCCATCTTTAAAAATAAATGGTAGTATTTAAATTAACTTATTAAATAGGCCGTATATGTATAAGTACACAATTATTTTAAAGTTGTTATATATTTCATTTTATATAATCCAATCGAAAAATTATCTTTTCTCATATTTGCTATCTCATAGTAGCTAGTAGTAGTAGTTTTTTTTTTAAATTTTATTAATAGTATTGCTAGCAAAGCCAAGCTAAGTCTGTTAAAAGATACTATTTATTTTATTAAATGGACTGAAATTGAAAACGCGTATTTTTATGTTTTGTACTAATTTATGTCACTTACTTACTTAAAGGTATAAAAATGCGAAGTAGTCAAAGTCAGTCCACGTATTTTGTAACTGTGGCTAACATTACGATACGAAAACATATTGGAAGTAGGTACCTTTACCTCTTTATCGAGGTAAAGGCCAACCAAGGGGGGGGGGATACGTCTAGTTAGAATGGACATGTACAATTACACGTGCTCAGTAATTAGCATTAGCTTTAGCCAGTTAGAAATAAAAACGTAACAGGATAATCCGATGGCTTAGTTTCATCAGACTATATAACCACAGGCCCCGGTAATTATGGTTGCACGTTGGAGATGTTTGGGGGATAGCGGGGCATTGCCCCCTCTAGATTCACGGCCAAGGCAGATAAATTCGTGTCAGTTAAAGTGGCCGGGCCTTCGTCTGTCAGCTTAATAATTTAAATCCGTAAACAGGATGTTTCAGGACAAAAGGATTTAAGGTTCAAGGTTGGGCAAAAATTTGTCTACTGGTTAGCTACAGTCGGCATGGCCATCTCGACCATATTGCTGGTCATCTGGCAGGATTATGCTTAGATGGCTGCATAACCTATTCATATAAAAACAGTGTTATTCTCAAGTCAAAGAATAACGTTAAAACAATGGTATATCTTGTCTGTAGTTTACGCGAATAGTATCTGAAGGTTTAAAACGGTCTCCCATGACCACGGCTACTGCATCGAATCTGCAACGTAGAGCCCTAGTTAAAAAAAATCAAAAAAGTTAAACTAATAACAATATATTATGTCGCGTTATAAACTGTTAAAGAGTTTTATTTAAATTGTATATATCCCTTAGTAGTTTTTTTTATAGTTGTAGGTTTGTAGTGAGTATATATACAGTTTTAAAAGTTTTATGTTTGAGAATAAAAAGCGAACTAAAAACTCATTTGTAACAATTGGTTAAAATTCAAAAGATACTGAAACTAATTTTTTTGTCTCCAGTGCGTCTCGTCGTATCCGTTTAATTTAAACTCTTTTGGCGACAAAGCGGCTAAGTTATTTATGTCAGACAATACTTAAGCGAAGTAGATAAGTAGTGCTATGTAGATATTTAGTGCTTGAGTGACCCAGTTCTGCTTTGTGGCCGAAGTGCAGTTGTAAATGGGCGATAGCTTATCTTTACGATCGATAAGTCGCTTCATGTTAATGACAAAGGAGACGGGCACCAATATTTGTACGGATCAAAACAAACAAATGAATGTCTTTGATAAGGTTGACTGGGGCATGTGGAGATTTCTATGTTACATAAGGTACTTGTGTGCAATTACGGTACACAACATAGCAAGATGGCGGCACTACACTTAGAAGATGTCGTAATTGTGCATTTGTGTGGCCATCCTTTATCTATAATATTGTATAAAGTTAATCGCACGCTCAGGAACTACGGATTCGAAATTAAAAAGTCTTGTGTTAGTTAACCCATTTATTGAGGAAGGCTATAAAACATCGCCCTGTGACTAGTACAAACGAAGATACAGCGAGATATGTGAAAAAAATTGGAAAAACGGAAAAGATGCCCAAAAAATAATAAAAGAATGATTCCTCTTTTAATGATTTTTAAAAAATGTCTATCTTTTAAGATTGACTTGCAAGGACGACTGGAAGGGTCGCGACTCACATAGTGGGTTAATAGCTTAAGTTTATAAAGATGAAAATGAAGGGTTTTTCAAAAACGACTTTGGACGCCCAAAATAACGATTCTCGCGGACGAAGTCGCATACTCAGCTAGTATTTCATAAAGGTCTGTTTGTTTCTGATATATTATTGAATTCGGTATAATATTATTAATTAAATTACTTACTGCGAGATTTATTACTTAGTTACTTACTATTTCTGGTGAATATGTATCTTTGTTGTAATTACTTAAATTGCATTTAAAGAATTATTTTATGTCATGTGAGCTGAATCTATTGTATTATCTTATTCAACTTCTGAACTATGAATAAACCTTACATAAGTAAGAGTACCCTACTATCTAGCCCACAACCGGTTTCCAAGATCATAATTTACATCAGTTGTTTTGACCCACAACTTCGTTGAACCAGTTTTAATCTTACTCTTGACCTCGGAATTTTAAAAAACCTTGTAACGGAAGTCTTAAGGAAAGTACTGTGGGTGGGTATGCCTCGGGGTTGGTTTATTGTCTATAGTTAAAGAACTGAGCTAAAATATAGTGGCTCTTAGATCTACTAGATATCTAGTATGTCTAGTTTTACCATCTAATAGTATACATCTTCACAATTTTGTGTTTTCAATCTATATAAACATCAATTTGAAATGGATAACCCATTGATAAGAGACACAGTGCGCAACACAGGCTTTTCCATCCATAAACACCAATGTAAGACGGAAAAACCGTTTGGATGACACATTGGATTTCTGGTGTTGCTCCTATTTATAATTATACATTTTTAATTAATAAATATAATTACAAACTGTATTGTTTCGATCGTGTTATGTTGAGGATTATTATAATAAAACAGAATAAGTCTTACCAATTTCCCATTTTTCTATTTACGATTTTTACAATTAACACGGTATTGCAAGTCTTCGATTGCATATACGATCTTTATCACGTAAGCCGGCTTGAAGGACCAATATTAAAGGCAGGCTCGCTTGTTTCAGTGCTGCGGACAGTGCGGATTCACCGATACTAGAGGAAGCCGGTGAGAGCGGTTCGGAGCAGAAGCCAAAACCGCTCGTCAAGTACGGAGAGCTTGTCATACTCGGGTAAGTACTTCTGTGAACAATCATTCTATTCAGTTTATCTGATGCTGGCAAGGGTTGCTAAGCACAACGGCGAAAGTTGATGCTCGATTGTTTAACGAGTTTGGTAAAGAGGTGTAAATTGTAAAGATACATCAATCGTGTAAACTATATCAAAGTTCCTTATAAAAAGATATGCAGGTCTTAACTTCGATGCCTGTAAAAATGGAATTGATTTATCAAACGATCAATAGGTCCATTTTTATTCTGAAATATCAGATTAAAGTTGATTGTTTAAACAAATATTATCTTAATGCACTCGAAAACGAAAATAGACATTGGCAGTCGTTAACTTTTATTAATAGCGTTATATAGATTGGTAAAATAAATAATCAAAGACATTTTACAGCGACATAACATAAGTTAACACTTACTAACTTAGTATTTCAATAAAACATTTTAATGATAAAACGCGATATATAAATAAGGAGTTAAAAACAATTTTAAACTCGTAAACTACAGACAGTATCAATACTACAGATAGTAACAATAGCAATTGAAAATAAAGTAACAATACACGTAAATCCGTTATAAACTATATTTAAACAAACAACTAACGTCGTAACATTAGATTCTGTTTCGAAGTTTCGACGTTGGTATTGGTAGCAATGCTAAACAACGGATCGACCTAGCAGATTCATATTTTTTTCTAATCAATTAATGATTTTTCCAAAACATGTTGGACTAGATTAAACGGGCGGTGAAATATCAAAATTCCGTCCGGGAACTACCAATTAAAAAGCCGCCAATTAATCGCGTTTCGGTTTCCGTCTGGATTTTCGTATATCCAAAGTAAAAATAGTCGACAACGTATCTTGTTTAAACGTTACATGGTTGCGGTACTTCATCTACCAAGAACCCCGTGCGTATCTGTCATCTATCATAAAAAGGGGAGATTTTGAATTCTTGAATAAAAATACATGTAAACTTTGTCTCTTCCTGTACCATAATTCCGCGTTATAAATTAACCTAATAATGCCATATTAGTCTACCCTTTGAGTTAGCCTAGCTTAACACAACATGAATTTAATCTTCGCTCCGAATTGCCGCCAGATTATCTGCTTAACCTTATCGCATAGATATGTCTGCTTTTCCATTGTCCATCAATCTAACGAAGTCAGTGTTTGGACGCATGCCTCGTGTACACGAGGACACTGACTGACTGCAGTCTGGATCAAGTGCGTTATTGGCGGATTATAATTGAATTGCGACCTGTTGCCAAGTACCGATCGCTACGTGGCTAGTACTACTAGATTGTATTAATTACTGCCTGTAGAGTACGCGAGTACACATTTAAATAAAACACTAACGGTTTAAAACGCGATATATATAAGTTTAAATTATTTGCAATATATTTTATAATACGGCCCGAGGTTTCGGATTCATTACAGCAGCCGTGGTCACGGGGGGGATTTATTTCATTTTAGATTGTAATAATTTTACTAAGTACAATCTAGTGGTTGTAATAATGTGTTGGAAAGCAAAGGTTATTTTATCTTGTGATTATTTTATCGAGTTTGGTCCATACATTTGTTTATCAACCATCATATTTTATTGTATAATTACTTACATATAATTTGTATTTTATTTTACCATGTCGGTGAAATTTAATTTTAGCTAGAATCTCATTCCTCAATACAAATCGTCCTTGATTTAAAATTTACATGCATCGAGTGACGTCACTATATTGAAATAATATTGTGATTATAGTTCGTTGAACATTCGACCGTCCTTAGATCCTGGACACGATCAATGACTTATTTGTTTATTAGAAGCGTTTGTTACAATGTATTCGTTCTACTAAAAATAGATATTGTTCATTACATGTAAAACATAGGTAAGGATAATGCAAAAGTACAGAGCAAAATTGCTGTATAAATATTTAAAAATCCTGAATTGCGGTTTTATATATATTTTAATATGTAGGCCTACCTTTTGTCCCAGGGTGGGGTAGGGGGCATTGTAAACCCATTTTTTTTCCCCCCCCTTTTTTTAAGGGGGGGGGGTTTTTTGGTTTTTGGGGGCCTTTTCGGGGGACCCGGGGTGGGGGTTGGGGGGGGGGGCCCTTTTTTTGGGGGGGGGGGGGGGGGGCCCCCCCCTATTTATCATTATGGGTTTCCGAGGCATACGCTGCAAAAACGGTTCAAGATACCCCAAAAATATGTATGCAAGAATGATTCCTCTTTAAATGATCCAAAAAAAGTCCGCGGCGCTATATGTCTATCTTTTAAGAGTAAGTTGCAAGGACGATGGGAAAGGACTCGACCGACGTCGCGGGTAACAGCTTAATTTTATAAAGGTAAAGGGGTGTGCAAAAACGAATGTTGATGCCCCAAATAAATATTCGAAGTCGCTGAAACAGCTAGTTATTCATAAAAACTCACAATCGATCAAGCTAAAATAGATTTTTAGTACCAACAACACAAAGGGATGCACGAATACCATCTTTACATATGAATAATAGGATAAAAATGAATACGTAACTAATGAGGCAGTGTTCTAGTGTTTGTTTGTCATTAGCTAAACACTAACACTGATTAACGAAACAATTAACGTTCAAACTAATCTTAATATAAGAGTTATTTCTTATTCGTGAGAGTATAGACACTGTATTGGCGGTATTTGAGTATAAGATAGCTCATAACATTCTTGTCGCTGACAATATTTAGTAAATAAGGAAAATAGCAAATTATAACATTTGTTAATTTATGCAAACATTGAATATTTGATTATTTCCTTAAAAGACTTAAGTAAATATGTTTAAACAAACAAGCTAGAGTTTGAAAATTTATATTTTTACATGTTATTCACAAGAAGGCACTGTATTTAAAAATCGAAAATAGATTAAAAAAATTTTCGACTCGGACAGGACTTCTTCCGTCACTTCCGTGCTGTTGCTCTACCAATGACTCGGTAGCTCAATTGGTAGAGCAATTCATGCACGGAACACTGAATATGCGAGTTCAAGTCCTGCCAGGGTCGAATTTTTTTTAATTTATTTACAAATTTCAAGGTTAACGGGGTGTATTTTTATTATTGTTAGTTGTAATTTTCTTCATTTGCGTGTGCGCATGGTCAATGCATTTATCGCTTATTGAAGTCCGTTTTGGCCAAGTTATAGTCATTTAAATATGTACTGTCTAGTTTACGCGAGAAGTTTACATTTAAATAAAACACTATCGGTTTAAAACGTCGTAGTTATATTAATTTTCAAATAAGCTTAGCTAATACATATCGCGTTTCAAACCGTTAAAGTGTTTTATTTATAGTCATCTACTCAGTTGGATAGGCAGCGGTCAGTTGCATAAATTTTTGGCTTTCGGCCCCAGCAGTAAGTAGTTCCAAAATGCTCAAGAGGGTATAATTTGGGTACGAAACAATAAACATACAATTAGGTACCTCTAAATATTTTATACCAAAGACATTTATTACAATGATAAAAGTGTATTGAAAGTTCAAGATCAAAATGTCAGACGGAAATAGAATCTATTGCGTCGTTGATTTAATAAAATGTAAATATTTTACTCTTAGGTTTGAGTTATAATTATATTCTTATTATGAAGTTAGTTTGCATATATGGAATATATTAAAGTTACAAATAATTGTATGAAATTAGTTTTATTCATATATTATAACTGAACAAAACTAGGATGTTCAAGTATTCTACCACTGAGCGATAGAGGATATTCAAATATACATATGATAATATTTTATAAGGAATCGGAAAACATCCGGTTGGAATAATATCGCATGCATTTTTATGTGTCAGCTGCATACGGTTTTACATACAATTTTGTAGCATCTGTCTAACGATTTTCGCACTTATAGCTTCAACGAATTTTTTTAAGGAAAATGCATTTTCCTTTAATATACATTTTTATGTAAAAATGGTGTTATTACGAAATTATTAAGGTTAAAATTAATTAAGTATCCAGTAACTATTATTAATATATAATCATTTACAAATACAAATTACATACTTAACTAAGTTTATGACCGCCTCTGCTTAAACGCGAGAGGGTTTGATCCTCGGTCGAGCAGGGCAGAGGACTAGTCTACAATTCATTTATTCCTGTATGTGATCATAAACAGACACAAACAAGTGTTTGACTAATGCGTGACGTAACAAAATATGCGCAATATCAGGCAATTTCTAACCGATCAAAATGAAAGAACATTTTTAAATGTTAAATACTAATGCGTCACTTTCTTGTTTAGTACCTCCAACGCATGTAATACCATCGATCGCGCCTGGTATAAGCTAAAAGTGTAATTCTACCCGCACTAATTCAATATAACAAAGTACTTCTATGTTTAACTCGTGTAGTAAAAGTTTTGTAATTGTGTGGTCTTACTGGAGACTTCGCTGCTAACGAACGAAGTTTACATAATATAGTGTTGTTAGTTGTACCTAACGGGCTTCACGGGACATATTTATATGTCTGTATCCTATATATTTACCTAGATATATATACTGTCTATAGTTTACGCGAGTAGTACACATTTAAATAAAACACTTTAACGGTTTAAAACGCGATATATTAGTTAAATTTATTTAAAAATGATTTTTAACTTCGGCCAGACGTTTCGGAGGTTTTGCAGCAGCCGTGGTCACGGGGAGACTGTATTATTTCTCTGTAATCGAACCTCTAATCATTTAACGCATTGCACTACGCCACTGATGTATTCAAAAAGTTTGAAAGAATCTTCATAACAAAGAAATTATCCATTTTACTCTTGATAATGATTGCTATGTATCTAACGATCCTAATTACCATAGTTATTGTGGGAAGAGTGATTTAGCTGGATTGTCTCCTTTTATGACTGGCTAATGACAATTTAATTGATTTAGGATGGATATAGTGATGCACATGCGTAAATAATTAATTAGTTTTTTATTACTACTACATTGTATCTCATATAATAAAAGTAAGAAAAAAAGATTACGATTCTAATTTTGTGCAGCTTCGTTGGCCCGAGTCCCACTCTGCCTTTGCCTATTTTAATTTATTAGATAATAATGTTTTCCCCTCGTGGGGCATGGGGCGAAGACATTTCTGTGTCCGTTTCACTGATCCATTATTTTACAGGCAAGTAGTGATGACGTCTGTGCCCCGTCAGACCGAAACAATTTTTTGTTTCCCTGGGATTCGAACCCAGCACCTCTCGCGCTTAACGCAATGCTAGGCAATATGTTTAACCAATTAAAGTTACAGAGGCGGCGATATTATCGAAATCTTGTAAATGATATGGTTTTTACGTCTAGTTTTTGTCCTAAAGTGCCATTACAACAGGACGGGCGCTACCGACTACGTTTACACAACCAGTAACATAACACACAAAGTACTTGCCATCTACTTGTATATTTGAATTTGGAACGTTTAAATTGAGCCGCGTACAAAAACAAAATACGCAACGGCCGCTGTTTACCAGACTTTAAAAATCTATTCTTAATCGGAGCACTCGCTAGTTGTAAAGGTCTGTATCGCGTTATGTCAGGAGTTACGACGGCTTACACAATAACACACAAAGGCCGCACTTGCTCGGCTTCCCATGCCGCATCCAGCCCGACATTGTCCAATTTCTTGCTAAGTTATTACTGTCGTGCCTATGCAGTGCGCTGCGAATAAAAACAGTGCGATTAATGTGAAGCGACAGACAATGAAGTCTTTGCCCCCGTTCGGAGATGTGTGACGAGCGGCGCGATTAGCGATAAATAATAATATCAATAATACAATATAATGTGTTGCTGCTTATTAGTGCGGCTTATTAGTCTAATAATAACGATATTATAATTTATAATTTTTCAGAAACATGTTGGACATTGTCTGGAAATCTGGATATTTAAAGAGTGTTAATAATATAAAATTTCCGTCCTCCTTTGTCTTAATAAACCCAATGTTTAATTAATAATAATAATAATAATGATAAAAATTAAAATAAAGGTATCGTGTTTACTAGGAAACGCCATATAAGCCACTCAGTGAAGTAACATATTTAATTAGTGGTCTCCGTGCGTTTGTCAATGTGATAAAGCAAACAAATAAGAAAAATAATAATAATGATAAGAAAATTAACACAGTACAAAATACACTGATCATGTAAAATATTAAACGTAAAAGCCAAATCGTTATGGGGCAATATCGTCTTATCGGGAACCGAGCCCAGGTTAACATAATAATATAAAATTATAAAGTCTTTCAATGTGAGAAATGTGTAAGGGTGCAGTTATTAATTTTAAACTGATTATTTTTATATATTGACATTCATAATTATACTCGGCTAATTATTAATTGGATTTCGAACAAAGTATCTTTCAATGTAATAAATGTATTTGGTATAAAATAATCTGGGTACCTAATTGTATGTTTATTTTTTGTACCCAAATTATACTCTCATAATCATTTTAAAACTTCTTTATATATTATATGTATATTCAATACAATGATTGAAATATTTAACACTAAGAGTGAAACAAATTCTTCATCTTCTGAAAATATCCTCGAATTTTCCCTTTAGCTTATTGATGATATTTTGTATTGATTGGCAAGCAGCGGAAAAGGAAACAGTACAAGTAGAGCACGCGTTGATGCTATTAATAACGACTAGGATTAGCTAATACACCGTTTTGTCTGTACTCAGTTTTGTATGTTACAATTTGTGTCGAGTGTATTAATGCTACAGGTTACAGGTTTTAGGCACAGTGTTGAGAAGTTATGGCTTTAATTAATAAAACGTTGTACATTTTTAGTTTTCATATTGGCCCGTTAGGGTGCATAATCTTTATTAAATTTTTCACGTTTTTCAGGGTTTCCGTTGTGTGCGTTGCAAAAACGGTTCAAGAAACCAAAAAATATGTATGAAATAATATTAAGTGGCCTTATACGACTATCTTTTAATAATAATTTGCGAGAACCGTTTTTGTGTTTATCAATTATCTATTTTTTTTGAGTTGTATCAATGTAATAATATTAATATTGCACACAACAAACGTTTGCCGGAGCTAGTTTAATATAAAGCATAAAATGTATTACAATGTTGTACGAAGTCATTTCTGTTACAACTCAAATCGAAAGTAAGATGAAATTAGGCGAGTAACAAGAGTTTTTTTTATTGAATTTTTCAACCTCTTAACTCCAGAAATTCAGTTATAGGTTCGGACAAATTTTTGTAGAAAGAATTTAAACCATACCTATTCTTTATTTCTTCTCGAAATCTCATATTACAAGATGTAAATCTTATCTGTCAAAAATATGCCGCAAATTCTTTACGTTAGTTTTAGAGGATATTTATCTCTTGCGCTTATAACTCGCGCCCTAACGCGTGCTTTAAATGAACGGTTTATGTTATGACAATTTAACAAAACCTCACGACACATGACATCACTCACCCGGGCCACTAACGAACGCACGAGACATCCGGACAATGCGTTCGCGCTTTAATGCTATGGGACGTGATAATTTCGATGTCGTCTATACTTGGTCTCCCATGAATATTATAGCGGTTTTGTAATCGTGATGGGAATTCATGTGATCTTATATTAGATTGTATATTCGACCTTTTTCTAATAAAATTTGATTTGTATAAATTGAAAATCGAATATAGATTAAAAAAAATATCTCTCGCGACAGGTCGAAAAAATTCGACGATGACGCGTAGAGCACGGTAGCTCAGTTGGTTGGAGCAACACGGAACGCTGTGCATGACGGTTTGAGTCCTGGCCCTGTTTTTTCAAACTATAATCAAATTTCAATCTATACAGTGCCATCATGTGAAAAATATTAAAGTTCTCAATTTCTTTATTTTCCTAACTAATTAGATCTAAGGACGATTCATCTTCCATAGCTACGCTTATTACCAATCCTTTATTCTTCGACGTGTATATTAAACCGCGTGTCTTTGATGATATAAATAACACACGCTATTTTAATTAAGTAAATGGGGCACATAAAAGCTTTTGTTCCGTGTCTGTCGCAACTCGCGACGTACGTCCGTGCCTCGGGACTCCGATTCTGCTATTTACACTGGCCTGTCACTCGCTACTCGCTAGCCTGGTTTATCCCATATATGTAGTATGAATTCGATTATTTAAAACTGTCTTAACGTTTAAATTTTTGAAGCGACCAACGATAGTAGAATATCGTAGATTGCTATGCAGTCTCATCGTTCAGTTAGTTGCCAGACAAATGCATCTTACTTTTTTGTCATGACAATCATAGAGTTAACTTGATGATAGGTGAAATACTCCAGCCATATAACACCTAAACAATATGTGCAAACCTCCTATTTCGTCTTCGGATATTCAAAAATCTACAGACTGAAATCGAAAAGCGATTAAACCTTTTTCATCGGACGATAGTTCGGGACACGAGCGGAATTTCGATATTTCTACCATATAATCCAATCCAGAGGAAGTCCAACACTATTTAGAAAAAATATAAATTGATAAAAAATGTTGGACTCGGTGGAGATCGAACCCACAACCACTTGATTATGGCTTCCATTAAACGAACTAGCCCGTTGACTGTATCGTTAATTACCAGAATCGGATCCCGTGTCGCGTCAACGAGCGCCGTTATTAATGAGGTGATTTTATGAGTTCATTAAATAATAATAATGATTTAATAGTTTTCAAACGTCACATGTGCAGAGAGTCGCCATTGTATTTGTTATTTCTTTTGTTATCGAATGTAAATCGGGGGTTTGTATTAACAGTGGCATCGAATCCAATTACTGGCTTTACAGTTCGCCGATTTTCTTCGTAATTAAAAAAAAATCTTTGAATACTCAGGTTAGTTTATCACGTATTCCATCTTTAGATAAAACACTTTAACGGATTAGAACGAAAAATATATTACGTAAAGTTCCTCCGCTAAAGTTGTCAACGGCTGCTGCAAAGCATCAGAAACGTCGGACGTAATTTTTAATTTTGCAAAATAATTTTAACTAATTTATTTCGCGTTTTAAAATATTTAATTGTTTTATTTAAATATGTACTACTCACATTAATCGATGCTGTCAAGTACGATTAAAAGAAACGGCAAAAGGAAATTCTCAGTGTCATTTTAAATACTGTCTGTAGTTTACGCGTGTAGTACATATTTAAATAAAACGGTTAAAAACGTTCAAACATATTATACTCGTGGTATAAACCGAGTGTAGGATAGTCTTTACTGAGTTGTATTTGAGAGAGATGATCTGGTTTCCAGATACAATGGCTTCCTGCCGGCCGGTGAACGCGGAAGGCGCAGGAGCAAGTTCGTCTTGTACAGACGACCGCAGCCTAACGGCGTGCGCCGGTCTAAGCATTACGTGGTGAAGACGCCGCACAGCAGCAAAGCGATACTAGACGCCAGCCAACACTCGATTTCCTACACTTTGAGTCGTAGCCATGCGGTCATCGTGGAATACACGGAGGATCCAGACACGGATATGTTTCAGGTTAGATCTTCTTACTCATTTATTACTTGTTATTACTTCGATATAACAAATAAGGATCTCCATATTAAATACGGAACATAGAATATTATTTTATCTATAAATAGTATGATCATTATGTAAAACAATATTATTATTAAAAATCTACCTATGTAAGATATTGTGTAGAAAAATTCCATGTCAGAGACGGGACTAGATCCGACGCGCATAGCCGTGCTACTGCTGTAATCAATTATAAATCGGATATTATACATATTATCTAAATATTTAGCTTAGCTAATAGAAATTTGATTAATGACATCATTATTATAAATATAACATACACAGACACATTTATATGTTTAGCCATGTGCGCCTGCGACACGGAAGGAAAATGAAAATTCCCTTTCTTGTTTGTTAGTTTTACCGTTTAGCTTGCTATCTCAAACTAAACTAGTGAAGTTTCGACATATTAGATATATATTTTGATTTAACTTCATATTATTATATTACTTATTGTTTTTGAGCGTAGATAAAAACAAGACCAGCAAAAATTTATATTTAGAAATAATATAGCCGTTGCGCAGAATATTAAATTATTATATTGTAACACCTTTTGTACTGTGAGGAGACAATACCGACAATACAATAACAATAATTCGACACATTGTCAGCGATCTCCCGTGCACCAACCCCTGCAATTAAGTCGCTTATCGCCCACCAGGCGCCCCATGTATGTCTCATAAAGTGCTCGAACAATGTGCCTCGCGATCGGGAACAATGGGCACCCCTGCAAGCTTCTAGCCGAAGAATGTACGCTAAGGAAGTTAAATTGTACCATATCAGTTTCGTTTTCCAATATACATAGTCCGTAATGCATAATGTTAAAAAGAGACAACTATGTAGTTATTTTCAGTAGTTTGCTATCTCTGTCGCATAATACAACAATTTTATTTCGTGACGTAATTATTTCTTAATTTAAATTTGATAATTATTAAGGTAGATCGGCAAATTAAATAAATACGAGTTGATAGTTATGATAATAAATAAAAACTGTTAGGGAACTAGTCTATGCCCCACACAGGGCTTTCCTAAAGCCTATTGTGTACATTAATGTAATTAGCCAATTTGAAAGAATGTATTTAGAAAAAAAACTCGCGTTTAAAATCTACTAATAGATTCTTTTTATATTAATAACCGCTAGGCGTTATATCAACATACCTAGCTATAGTGGCAGAAATGTGGTAACACAGTTTATCATGTGGTGTTTACTCGGGCCGTATCTAATCGCGCATGTGGGTTACTGCCCCCCGGAGTGAGGACAATGCGTTGGTCCAAGACGCTGATGCGGTGCAAGTGACAACGACCCTATCGCAACAACTTAATGAGTTAACGCGATCACGCGCAGTTCGTAGTTGAAATGCCCACTCTATCGTCATCAAAAGTTTTTAGTTCCATTTTGAGCTGTTCTTATTTCTTTAAGTAATATGATGAAATATACGTTGTTCAGTTGTGGCCTGCAATGGACGTTTCCCGGATCAAACATGTAATGTTTATTTTATCAATTTATTATCCTAGTTCTTGTCGACACATAATGCAAAGATTACAGATAAAAAGTTTTCTTTTGATTTTGTCGGACTCATTGGGTGTAATGGTAGTAATAAATGGCTAACAATTAACTCGTCGTGTTCGACGGAACAGATGGCGCCAGCGTAGCAATTTTTTAATTTGACGTCATAGACATCCTCCATCTTTAGTCTCCCCGTGACCACGGCTGCTGCAAAGCATCCGAAACGTCGGGCCGAAGTTAAAAATCATTTTCAAATCAGTTTAACTAATATATCGCGTTTTAAACCATTAAAGTGGTCGTGTGTTCGATCTCCACCGGGTCCAAAAAATGTTGGACTTCGTCCGGAAATCTATATATTAAATGAGAGGGCTATAGAAATTTCGTCCGGGTCACGAGAACAAAACGGTCGACAGCGCATTTGGCTTCGATGTTACATGGCTACGATATTTCGCCTACCATTTGTCCTTCTCTATCATAAAAAATTATAACAACTGTGTTGAAATTCGCATCCATAACACATTTATACGTTTCAGCTTTGAATCCCTTCAAATCCTCATAGCAAGTTCGCGAGATTCGGATAAATGCGAACTCCTATGGGGCGTCGAAGTCCGTTGCCGTTGTCGGTCGACGCACCGCACCACATCCTGTCCATTCGACGCCGTTTCATTGTTGTCACAAACACGCTCTCAAACCGCACGAATGAAACTTAATATCGCTTAAATGTCACACAATTAGAACCTGCGTCGCGTTAGTTAATGAAACTGGCGGAAGGGGGGCTAATTCTTAAGTAACTTTATGTACTTGCCACGAACTGGTGCGTTTTTATTGAAAAAATTACAATAATAAACTGATTTTTAAATTAAATACATTTAACAGTTTAAAAGACAATATATTATTTAGTTTAAAATGCCAGCCATATAAGATCTAAACAAGATGCTGTGTAAACCTATTTTGGCTTTTGGATATTCGGAAATCGACGGACTGACACCGAAACGCTATTAAACTTCACCTCAAGTTCGTGACTCGGATAAAATTTCGATATACCAACCGCCCATTCAATTTCTAGACGAAGTTTCAGAAAACTCACGAACCGTTGATTATGAGCCATACATTGCTATCGTTATACCAGCTCGTCAAGATCTGTAGAAGAAGTTAGAGGGTTCATCACTATTATATGAGTAACACAAAAGTCTTCACCAAACGTCTTTTCTTGTTCCATTATCTGAGGATAAATATCGCGGAGAGAATAGACCCCTGCATACCCGCGAACAAAGTCCTTTGTTCCATTTACATTATCTTGATTAAATAAGCTACGAAAAGCGCACCTGCGCATTTTACCTTATCGTCTCGTCTGCTAAGTTTATCTGGTGACGCGCTACGATGTCCGATTTCGCAATTCCCACGGCGTAACTACGGAGCAACGATCGATAAATAATCTTTTGCAAACAGCGAATTTCCTTACCGCCTCCGGGGGGCAACTCTTTTGCGGTGGGCGGGATGGTATTCGATTGAAACGTAGGTCATCGTCACATCAAGGTCAAATTGGTATTAGAAAGAGCTGAATGTTACTTAGGAGGAAAAAAATTACTCAAGCCAATTTTAGGGTATTGGTATACTTTTTTTAACTTACTAGCACTGTCCTACTGTCTCAAGAACCCCTTAAGTTAGAGGTGAAAATATTAGATTTGTATTTGTAAAAAGAAAATAAGACAAATATTTAATAAAGGCTCATATACAAAAATATCATTTTTATTATAATTTAAAATGGTTACTAGTAAATACTGTCTATAGTTTACGCGAGTAGTACACATTTAAATAAAACACTTTAACGGTTTAAAACCCGTTTAGTCAAACTAATATATTTTAAACGTTAAAGTGTTTTATTTAAATGGTTACTAGTAGCCAAACTACTTGGAAAAAGTTATGTTGGTGTATGTCGCACTTGGCAATTTTTTTATGTCGACGTATAATAGACTACTAAAGAGTTAAGTACTTAAGTATATTTGTAAGCAAAACATTATTTGGAGTTAAAAGACAAATCCCAAAAAAACTATAGCATTCGCTATTCACTAACGTTTGTAAATTCGCGGAATTGTCACCAGGAATGTCCCCAATTTCCTTGTGATGAGCACATTTTTAAAGACTACGCCTTGAATGAACGGACGACATCTGTTTTTGATGAATGACTGCCCCGCCTCTGCAGTCCGGGACTGGTTAATCACGACCCACTAACCCAAAACTAGCTAATAACTCGCCATAATGTTCGTTGTTTCATTAATGAAGCTGTGCTCGCAATTTTTGTACTGCAGCGTAGGCGCGTTTGTGATGTCGTCTTTTGTTTGTTATTTTTATATAGCCGCCCTATATGAACAACTGCAGAGTTTTTTACATGATATAAGTTTATCTTAGAGATCGCTGTTTAATTTTTAACAACTCGTTCATAGCTGTGACCGCCTCCGTAAGAGTCCTACGTCCAAATCCCAGACAAACAATATAATCAAACAGTCGTTTTGGGGCGGAGGGGCACAAAAGTCTGATCAATTACTTGTTTGTAAATAAAGTGTTAGTCAGTGATATGGACACACAATTGTGTTCGTCCCATGTCCCATAGTAGAAACGGAATTTTACTTTTAATAAAGTTATATAGCGCTAAAAAGAAGATGGATATAATAAAAGCGGAACGTCTCATTAATTTTAAGAGCTTTCTTCTGAGATATTATGTCATGTTCCTCTTGAAAAGTTATTCTGTCAGTAAAAGGGCAAAAACATTTTCTAATAGACTTAGGGCTATTTTTTAGTAACTAAATTTTAATACCTTTATACTGTGATCTCCAGGAGTTGTTTAAAATAAATTTAATTAAAAATATTTTTTAGTGTATACAGAATAGAAAAAGTCCTTTACAAGAAGCGGGACCAAGTCTATTTTTGTTGTCACCTGTCACTGCGAAAATGAGATTAATGATAAATGGATGCTCGTGACGTCATAGTCGATCTGATTCGCATGTCGACGAGGGTGAGGTGTGACGTCATTAGTGTGTGGGGGGGGAAGGTTGTAGCGAGACGGCGTGCTCGAGCCAAGGACGTCGCCGTGCCGACAGTCCCGCAACATCACGTTAATCGATATCTATAAAACCAGTTCTAAAATACTAGACAGCTGGTAAGAGTGCCAACCAAGCGCATGAAGTATAGATCTTATATACACACTAGCTGTGCCTGTGTGTTCGTCCGCTTAGAATAGTTATTTTGGTTGGCGAAATTTGTTTTTACAAACTCATCTTTATAAATTATAGCCACAACGTTGCCCACGTCCCATCGTTCTTACAGGTTAATCTTAAAAATCGTGGTCATTATTTAGAAAAGGATAAATATTTATATATACTTTTTCGGTGTCTTAAGCCGTTTTCGCGGCGCACGCGACGGAAACCCGTAAAGATGAATAATATTCCCCGTTTTT